ACCGCTGTGGTCAACAGAACCTTTTCCACTGGAGCCGTCAGCAGCGCGAGTCGGCCGCGTCTCAGGAGCAGCATGTCGCGGCCTTTACGCGCCGGTTCTATTTTCTACGCGCGACGCCTCTGAAACGGGTCAAGTTCGACATTTTTGGGGAAGGAAAGACAGGAAATCGGACGCGGAAATGGAGAGACGCTACAGAGATTTTCAGAATAAAGAACGTACTGCCTTCCGGTTGCTTCACTTTTAAAAAAGGTTACTAACTGTGCGTCCCCGTGAGAAGTTATCACCTAGCTAGCGGTCTCCTTTGTTTTTCAGGTCCGTATTGGCGATTATAAAACGGACAGAACATAAAACACAAACCTTTTGGAGCCATATTGTAGTTTTCTCCTGCTTGTTGTTGTGTTTACTGACGAAGTCACTCGTGTGACTTCATGCTCGGTCGGTGACAGCTGCTCCCCTGCTGCTTCGCGTCTCGTGGGAAGGGCCAAGCAGCAGCTTACGCGAGCAAGACGTGCTGCTGCAGTAACGTGCTGCTGACGGCTCCGGTGGCAAGGAGGAGTAAGAAGCCACATCCACTTTGGATGCGAACAAGCGTTCCAGCTACTGTTATGACCTGGAGACATCTCAAGACTGGACGGGTCGGATCGGAGCTAATCTACAGGCTCCAGGTGCCGTGAAGTCCACCCGACTTCTGACAGTCCGGATCTGCTGGGGGTCTCCACCAGGGTTTGTAGACACAACGGATTGCGTCTGATGCAGTTTTATTAATAATCAACTCTCTAGTTTATAGCGGACAACAAATTATTTTACACCCAGATTTCACAATTTCTCTCAGATACAAAGATTCTGATAAACATCTAGCTTACATCACACCCCCTACACATCACATCACCGCATATCCACTCCATCACATCTCATTATTCATATCTTGTCATGTATAATCATTAGTTTAGAAAAGAATAAAATTCCTTTTTAACTAAATACGGACTCCGTCTGAATTAATACGAAGTGTGTTTATGGTCCCTGTGAAAGTAAAAGTAACTGTAATCTTCTGATTAAACTTCACAGATCAATCAGATTGATATTTCATATTTATATGGCATCATCACACCTTACTGGTCATAACTGATTTGCAGGCATCACGCTATAAAGTGTGAACGCCACATAGGGGTTGTGTGGCGTATAGTTCTGCGGTGGAGGTGGAGAGGTTTCAGGAGGAGCATAAGGTGTCTTATGCGGAGGCAGTGCGTCGTGTGGGGGTTAAGAGTGGTGGTGTGGAGGAGGGGGCAGGTGTGGTAGTGGTGAGGGATGCGAGGACGTTTTTGGCCTTTTTGTGTTTAAGTGTATTAAAAGCCTAAAATTCTGTACAATTAATGAGCATCAGACCCACGTGACCACAGAGCTAGCTCCGGGGAAATGTTGGTCCATATTGACAGGATAGCATCTTGCAGCTGATGGAGATGTGTGGGATGCACATCCAGGACACGGAGCTCCCGTTCCACCACATCCCAAAGATGCTCTATCGGGTTGAGATCTGGTGACTGTGGGGAACGTTGTAGTACGGTGAACTCATCGTCATGTTCAAGAAACCAGTTTGAAATGATTGGAGCTTTATGACATGGTGCATTATCCTGCTGGAAGTAGCCATCAGAGGATGGGTACATGGTGGTCATTAAGGGATGGACATGGTCAGAAACAATGCTCAGGCAGCCCGTGGCATTTAAACCATGCCCAGTTGGCACTAAGAGCATGTGATTGGGCTGCATGGTGGCGCAGTGGTTAGCACTGTTGTCTCGCAGCACGAAGGTCGCAAGTTCGAAACTCGGCTGTGGCCTTTCTGCGTGGAGTTGCGTGTTCTCCCCATGCATGCGTGGGTTTCCTCCGGGTACTCCGGTTTCCCCCACAACATGCCCTATAGGTTATAAATTGTAAGTCGCTTTGGATAAATGTGTCTGCTAAGTGAATAAACTAAGGGGCCTAAAGTGTGCCAAGAAAGCATCCCCCACACCATGACACCACCACCACCAGCCTGCACAGTGGTAACAAGGCATGATGGATCCATGTTCTCAATCTGTTTACGCCAAATCTGAATCTACCATTTGAGTGTCTCAACAGAAATCAAGACTCATCAGTCTTCAACTGTTTTGGTGAGCTGGTGCAAGCTGTAGCCTCTTGTTCCTGTTTGTAGTGGAGATGAGTGGTACCCGGTGGGGTCTTCTGCTGCTGTAGCCCATCCGCCTCAAGGTTGTGCGTGTTAGCTTCACAAACGCTTTGCTGCATTCCTCGGTTGTAACGAGGGTTAGGGTCTTCTATCAGCATGAATCAGTCGGCCCGTTCTCCTCTGACCTCTAGCATCAACAAGGCATTGTGGCCCACAGGACTGCTGCATACTGGATGTTTTTCCCTTTCCACACCATTCTTTGTAAAGCCTAGAAATGGTTGTGGGTGAAAATCCCAGTAACTGAGCAGATTGTTAAATACTCAGACCGGCCCGTCTGGCACCAACAACCATGCCACGCTCAAAATAGCTTAAACCACCTTTCTCTCCCGTTCTGACCTTCAGTTAAGAGTTCAGGAGATAGTATTCACCAGGACCACTCCCCTAAATGCACTGAAGCAACCGCCATGTGATTGGTTGATTAGATAATTGCATTAAGGAGAAGTTGAACAGGTGCTCCTAATACTCCTTTAGGTGAGTGTATGCTAGCATGATATATCTCATAAAATGGATTTTTTTCCGTCTGCCATTCAAACATAAAATGTAAGTTGTCTTAAGATATCAGGTGTTTTCTTTGTAGTTTTAACATAAAAATGACCTTTAAAAGGGAAATATTGAAGAGGCGTGGGCCAATGAACATGTTTCTGTTCACTTGAGCGACAAAAGGACTCCCCCTACTGGAGCCTGGATGTAACTGCAGTGGGTGCAGCTGTAAATAATGTAATTCGTTACCGTATCTGGTAAAACTTCTGGTTTTTGTCACACACACACAAATAAATGTACATTTCTGATAAAGATGGAAAAAAATAGTAAATAACCTAAATTTATATCGAACGTTCTAGAGTTCTAGAACCCCCCAAGGGGCTTTACATCACATCAATAATCCATCCACTTACACACACATTCACACACTGGTGGTGATAAGTTATACTGTATCCACAACAGCCCTTGAGAACGCTGACAGAGGTGAGGCTGCTGATCCTTGACCAGCTGAGACCTGAGGTGCTTTAGATGTATATGTTGCATTTTGAGATCTTCAAAATCATCAGACAAGTGATTTCTTAGTTCTGAAGGTCTGGTATAATTAAGTCTGAGTGAGCTCAGCTCTCCAAATGATACAGTTAATTCATGGTTTCATGAGAGGAACAATGTATTTTTCACAAAGAACCAGGTTAGTTTGAACAGCTTCCTCTTAATGTATGACATCACCATTTAAAAACTGCATTTTGTCAGAGGTGTGACCAAGTCACTGCTTTGCAAGTCACAAGTAAGTCACAAGTCTTTCCAGTCAAGTCCAAGACAACCAAGTCCACGTCGAGTCCAAAGTCAATGATGTGGAAATCAAGTCCAAGTCCTTAACTTTGAACTTTGAAGTCATATTCAAGTCATCTGTCCAACGTCATTTTAATGACGATGATAATAAATAAATTCCAGAATTAAAGCTTCATTTATTTGCTCAAACAAGCAGAAACTGAAACTGAAGATAAACAAAGAGCTGCTGCATTCAGCAGTAGATCTAACCCAGAACCAAGAATGATTTATGATTTTTGTCCATGTCGTGCTACTTTTGTGCTAAAATATCAAATATGCTCAAGCCATCATCAAGTCAACTGATGCAAGTCGATTCAAGTCGCAAGTCATTGGTGTTCAAGTCCGAGTCAAGTTGTAAGTCTTTATAGATTTTATCAAGTCAAGACAGAAGTCATTAAAGAGAGACTGCACACCATCAGAAAACGTAACTCCGCCTCTAGTTAAGATTTGAAAAATGCTATGAAAGTGGGCGCTGCCAGGAGGCACAGAGTGGCATGGCCGAGTGTGGGGAATTTCCATCCTGGGAGGGAGGGGGAGTGGGAGGAGACTGTACCGATGAGGTGAAATTATTCCAGCCCCAGCCAGTCACAAGTTTAAAATGCAGTAGCTGCTGTTCTGCCACAGGGGGGCAGCACTAAGACGTTTTTGGACCCATGTTCAGCGCCTTGGGCTTCCTGACAGGGTTGCAGAAGGCGCTTTATAAATAAAGTTTTGATTGATTGATTGATTGATTGATTGATTGATTGATTGATTGATTGATTGATTGATTAATCAAGTTTACACAAACATGTCAAAAAATGCACAGAAACAGAAAGACTGCATACGTAAAGACCCAATTACACAGTTTATAAGCAAAAAAAGCTATTTTGGGGTTTAGTTACTCTTTTAAATAATGACTCGAATCCACACCGCTGCATTTTGTATTTACTTGGTGTTTCTTTGGTTGATATAGATCTTTTTGCTGATCTTAAACATTTAAGTATATCCACAAAAAGCAAAAACAGAAGAAATCTCCAAGAGAATAAACATTTTTCACGGCTCTGTAACGCCAGTACACACGCTGAAAGTCGACAAGTTCTGTATTTTTAAAAAAGTATTTCTCATTAAAAATATATGTTGTCGTTCTACTCTGTAGCCACTTCAGACTTCAGAAATTAATTTCTGAAGCGTAAAGAAGAGTCAGAAATAATAATTGTGCCTCCCGCATCTTCTTCTTTGCCCTTCTTAGGTAATAATCTCGCCTTGTTTTTGTTAGAAACGTTAAACCTCGTAAAAACAGCCACGTAATGAAAAACAAACTGGTCACACTGGTTAGAGAAAGGCCCAGCTAGAGGAATGGGTGATTTTTTTTGTTTTTTGTTTACTTACGTGAATGAGAAGGTGAGGCGGGCAGCGGGGTCATACGGACCAATAGCACAACTGGAAAACGTTGACTGACGTCCCTTTAAGCCAATGAGCGACGAGTACAGCTGGCTAAGCGCGACCGCGACGCCGTTTTCTCTTTAAGGCATTAAAGCGGAAGAATTATCCCTTTCATCGGCTAAATAACACGAGTAAACGGACTGAGGACACATTTATGACTGTCATCTTTAACACAAGCGGATTGCTTTCCTCACATCCTAGTTTTTGTGACACTGGGACCCGTAAACAGCCTTTTGCCCCCCTGACAGCTGCTTTTCGGATTGCCCCCGTTTGCACTTGAAGTTCAGTGGTGAGTTAATTGGTGCAGAAAAAAGAGGAAGCTAGCAAAAACTACAGGCGCCAAGATGTAAACAATGCGGACTATCACTCCTAGTACGGGGTGCTGTTTGTTAACAACTGTTTTGTTTACACTAACAAAAGAAACGTGTCGTGTCTGTGGATTTTAACTCCCAGTAAAGATCTCAGTCCGTTCCAGAGAGAGGAGAGCTGGCTGAAAGTACTTGTACGTGTAAAATGTAGTATTTCACCAGTACAAGTACACTAGAAACGTCCTGAACTAGCTGGTCAGTATCTGATTAAAACACGCTTAGATTCGGACAACAGATGGTTTATCACGTGTTTATTCACGTTACGCATTACGGAGAGGGTTCACTTTTCTAAAGCCACGAGCAGAGATGCTTTTATTCACGAAGCCACGCAGGCATTGGTGAGCGAAAACGGTGTGATGGATGTTTGTTCACGTGCTGCCTTCAAGGACACTTTGGGAGCTCGGATTTTCTAACACTTTGTCAGTGACGTTCATAGCTGCTGGAATAGTTACATATGTGATCGTGTTGAGTCAGTAGCATGGACGTAGTTCGGACTTTAGAAGTGGGGGGTCACAACCGGCATGGGGACCGGGGGGGGGGGGGGGGGTTACAGTGAGTATACAAAATATGTGTAAAACTACAGCCTGGAGGCTTTTTTATGCAGTGTCAGGAATGCAGAACTATGAAGTACGCAGGTGGCAGTAAAATTAAAAACTAATACTTTCAATTCAACTTTGTTTTTTCACCTTTTTAGTCATTTTCATTCCAACTCATTGTCACCATTTCACACTTATTTCTGCATATCTGATCAATAGAATTCATTGACGTTCATTTACTAAATAAATGTATTATTTAGTGTAAATAAATGTATTAGTTAGTCTGGCCACGCTCCGTTGACGGCTCTCGGTTGTGGGGGCGGGTTCTACCGTTGTCTTTCAAATGATCTCCGCATTCCACTGGACAATGAATGTGACATACTCTTGTTTCACTCTGTTGCATCATCCCACCCACCAGGCATATAGAGTGCCCTGATTGGCCCACAAAGCGGATAAAGCTCTGTGATTTGTTCACTAAGCAGATAGAGCACTATGATTGGCCCTTCATTATGGACCATTCACAGCTCTTTATGTGTTTGAAACCCCTCTAGAGAGCTGTGATTGGCCAGCCAGAGTCCTGGTAGGAGCTGCGGAGGAGTGTGCCTAGACCATTCTTTGCAACGCAAGAATTTGGTCTAGTTCACTAGGCTAGATTTACATCAGATTCTAGCTGAACTCTTGGACCTAGAGCTCAACCAGTCTGTTTTAATATAGCGTCATATTGGTTTTGGATGGTAAAAAGTGCAGGGGTCAAAAATTGACTTTGCCCCCCCCCCAAATTACACCCATGGGCTGTAGAACACATGGTTGGGTCAGCTTTTTGTAAAATCAGGAACACAATTACCAGTTTTAATTAACTCATTTGCTGCCAGTGTTTCTCACCGTTTTTACAGTTTTTTTAAGAGTCACAGAACGTTGCGCGCTAGGATGATGTCGACGCCAAAACAACCTAAACAAAGCGGAGACTCGCCTCTTATATCAGGAAGAATCCGCGTGTTTCCAGCGTTATCCGTTCTTTCATAATCTGTTGTTGAATTGTGATCGGCAGAAGCTTTTCTGGTTCACGCCTCACTTTTTTTACAGCAGCGGCCCAAAACGATCTAACACATGGATGTTCTGCTTCCTGATCACGTGACGTGTGACGTATGCGGTTGAAGATCGGCTTTAGAGCTGGGATGTTTGTACTTACGGTGCGGGGGCTCGTTCCGATATGACGACTTTAGTCACCAATGGCAGTGAATGAGTTAACTTTGCTTAAGTATAATTTTAATAACAATGACCAGACCCTGTTTTTTAATTGGAACGGTAAAACTGGGCTGTGCGTTTCAGCAAATGAACGCCTCAATTTTAGCTCCGAATGATCATAAAGTCAGTGTAAGGGGCAATATCTGTGTAAAAATGTGTTTCTGTTAGCATGCTCCTCACTTTGTCATGGCTTTAGCACGTCTGCTAATTCTGAAGGCTAACCTCTCATTGGTCTTTTGTCGGAGTTTCAAAATATCCGGAGCAAGTAAAAATGGAAGAACAAGGGCAAAACACACAGACGGTGTTTTACACATCATTAAATCCACCTGCTACTTTCAGTAAAGTCCTCAACACATTCGGTGGCAGCTCTTATCTGCTTTACAGCTTCAGTCGGTTGTATGTGACTGATCAGTCACTAGCTGCTGTCAACATCTGTTTTTATTTATGTGAATAGTTATTTGACATGCGTTTTGTAAATAGTCACAGGCATTTTATGGGTTGTTTCTTTAACTGGTTAATGTTTTATAACTCAAAACTACTTCCATTCATCTAAAGTCTGTTTTTATTTTAACCTTGTGGTCTGTTGGTTTGTTTCTAATGTGTTTACGTTCACTGTCATTGGGAAGAAACCGCTATGAACCTGCAACCTCTAAAACGGCATACGCTAACAAGTTCCATCCTGTGGTTTATGAGGTATTCAGCTAACAAACGTGTTTGATTTTAGCTCAGGATCAAAAATTTAAAGCTGTTCTTGTTTTTTCTGGACATGCCAGTCATCTTGGACTAGACTGGACTCCAGCAGCGATCAGCTGTAGTCACACATCTTATGAGTTCTTTGAGAGTTTAGTTGAACATTTATTGATCCATCGGGTATTTGTCAAACATCGTGTTAGCAAAGGGTGATTAACTGATCATCGTTATTTGGAAATGCCTTTTTTTTTTCGAAAGGAGTTCAGATGATTTAGGGATTATCTCTTTTCTGACCAATCATGTGACCAACCTGTTGCTGGTTTATCTAATTAGGCTGTGGGAGGGTCTTCCTTTATGTTGCCTTTCAAAAAATGCAAAACTTTAACTTTAAGCTAACCAGGAGTCAGTTTGTTACAAAATGAAATATCTGTTGTTTTTTTATTATAGACTATCAGTGTAAATGAATACACAAACTTCTCATTAGAACATACAGAACAATAATGGGTATTGTGTATGGTGTTTATATGTCAGGATGCTTGTTGTTTACTTTTTTCTACACAATAAAAACACTTTCCATTTAAATGTACAGAGACCAGTGTTGATAATTTACTGAAATATATCAGAGTTGCATCTTTTTCAGTGTCTGACTGATCGCCTGTCATTATGGGCTGGTTGCCTCTGAGGGGAAAGAGCTGGAAACTGTTTCAGAATGCAACCAGATGCTTCTAACCCGAGTCTGCCGCCGCTTTTGTCTGATGCCACTTTTAGTTTAGACTTTTTGTGTTTGTGGGCCTACATCGGTTTGTGCTTGTGGTTGGAAAGCACGTCCAAAACGGGTGATGTATCTGAATAAACTTAGTTACATTATCAATGACCGTTTGGTGTTAAGAGTTAGATGATGCTTCTCGGATGTCCAACCGTTTTAATCCAACCCAAGGAAGCTGAATGCAAATTATTGTAATATTTAATTGTAATCCAGGCAGTTGGAGGTAAGATGTTGTTTATTTAAACATCAAAAGTAGGAAAAATGACTACAACGTTTGTATAAACAAAAAACACGTTTTTATATTTGAAGAGCTTGACACGTCCACTTTGCTTATAAGGTCCGTGAACGCCTCTCCAGACCACGTGACCGAGCGTCCTCTCCAACTAGCGCGGAGCGGAGGCTAAGCTAACAGGATTTAGCAGCTGTGAGAAACGGCGATCTGAAGCATTCTACGCGCAGCACTTTTACCTTCGAGTAACACTTCAGGCGAACACCAGCAGGACTATGCCAGGTAACTTTAACCTCGAGAGAACAAAAATGGCGAGCCGTGTGAAGGTGTTGTAATCACCGAAGGGTAGGCTTGTTTTGTTGACCTGGATGCTGCCATGCTTTAGCAGCCTGCTAACGCAGCGAAGCCCACTTTGTTTGGCCTCAAATATTCAACTAGGATCTGCGTTTGTCCTTTATGTGAGGGCACTTGGTTTGGTGGCTGATTGTGCGCGTTTTTATTTGACGTGCTGCTTCCGGTGGGGACGCGTTTGTGCTTTGTTGTTTTTAGAGGAGCAGATGAGAAGTACCTAGCCCTCCACTCTTTGTTGTTGCTGGGATCATCTCTAGGCCCCGCACTGACAGCACAGCTACGTCGTCTGTTCTCTACCTCCGCACACGCTGGCCTCTTAGCATGATCTCGGCTAAACCCATGCACATGTTCCCCAGGTAGCTGTACACCTAGCTCAAACTGTTGGCTCGCAACCAGGTAATTCACAACACCTGCCTCTCAAGCTGCCGAGTCCACTTATTATGGTAGAGCTCCACTCTACTCCACTCACATGCTGAACTTTTTAGTTTTCAGCTGTTAAATTACTTGTTTCCAATTCCTGGACTGCCGATCCGAGTAAGTAAGTAAGTAAAGTTTATTGATGTAGCGCCTTTCACAGATATAAATCACAAAGCGCTGTACAACATGAGTAAAATCAGGGCAAATACCTCAAACCAATAAAAACATCATAAAAACAATAGCAGTGACAACAATAGTAACCAAAATCAGGACTACTTCTGTCCAATTCTGATTTATTTAAAGAACACATTTTTTAATTTCTGATTAACTTGGAAATTATCCTGGGATCAAATATAATTGGGGCTTAGTAATGGTGTCCTCGCAGAGTAACGAAAAGTCAGATTAGGTTTCAGGTCGGCTGATACTGATCAGCTAATGTTTTAGTTCCTCTTCTTTGGTTGTTGGGACAAGTTTGTCATTATTATTATTATTATTATTATTATTATTGGAGGCAGTAGCTCAGGAGGTAGAACAGGTTTTCCAGTGATTGGAAGGTTGCAGGTTCGATCCCAGCACCCAACAGAGAATGATGCTGTTGTGTCGTCGGTGGTCAGAGGGACGGATGGAGCCTGTGCTCGGCAGACTCGCCTCTATCGTGAACCCCAGGGCAGCTGTAGCTACAGTGTA